GAGAAGAAGGCTGCTTCTTCTGTTCCCACCCCAGGCGCTATTATATACATGTGGTTGGGGTCATGTGGGAGGAGCCACGTCATCTCCACACACAGCCACACCTCCCTGGGTATTTCCACAGGAGATCCCAGAGGTGTGCCACTCTGTAAGCAGGAATGCACATGGTGGGCACAGCAATCAGGGGAGTGGGGTTAGGTGTGTAGTGATACATAGAGAAAGGGAAGTTGACCATGGAACGGAAATAGAAAGAAAGAAGAAAAAGGGAAAAGGAGAAATGGGGAGTGACAGCGGGGGGAGCGGAGTAGGGCAGCGCAGCGTGGGGTCAGGTGGGGTGTGCCCTGACACTCCCCTGATCGCCGCACCCGCCACATGCATTCCCACCTACAGAGCGGCACACCTCTGGGATCTCCTGCGGAGACACCCAGGGAGGTGCAGCTGTGTGCAGAGATGATGTGGCTCCCCCCACATGACCTTAACTGCATGTATATAATAGTGCCTGGGGTGGGAACAGAAGAAGCAGCCTTCTTCTCAACTTCCCACTTCAGACTAAGTGGTCAGGGATGCTCACCCTGTGACAGGACCACCACTATGCATAGCCGATGTAGGAGGGCACAGCAAGTACCACACAAACAAGGCCAGAACCACGTTTTTCGAGGCTCCAACGAGCACCCTTGTCAGGGTTCAGCACCCTGCCTTAGGGTGCCCCGGACTCCCCACCTACTTTACCCCCTTTTTATTCTTTGACTGTTGCCTTGTTGTTGCCTTTGTGTGTTGTGTACACACGCGCACACAGGATAGCATGGGAACTTTCTGAGCGAGCAGCTCGCCCAGAATGTTCCCACGGGTCACAGCCACAGTTCTGGGCGAGCAACTCGCCCAGAACGTTCCCATGCCTACTGGGCACTGCCACCTGGATGTTCCCTCCGGGTCACACTACACAACTCTAGGAGCTGTATAGTTGTGGGCATGTGACCCATTCCTTTATATAGCAACCATGCGGGGAGATGAGACCTTTACCCTTCTTCTCATCTCATACCCCGCATAGGCAAGTGTATATATTATCTTTCCTTTTACTATACATCTCATACCCCGCATAGTGTGAGGACAGGCCAGATGGGGGTTGAGGTCAGGGAGCCTCCGAGTCCGAGGCCGGGCCCTGACAACCCTCAAGCCTCCGACGCATTCACAACGCCCACAGGACATTTCCACATTTTTTCCAATTTTTTCCATGCTTTTTTTCTCAAGACCCATATTGCCACTTCCCCAAAATTCACGGATATCCACCATTTCCCCCATATCTCCACCAATTTTCCACCAATTCACACGATTTTGAGCTTGAAGGACAGCGACGGATCAGGAGAAGAGGATGGAATGACAGGACGAGAGTTAGGATGACGGATATGCGGTGGAGAAGCGAGATTGATGGTTGATATTGACCTTATGGGCCTCAATTATTGATTTTATTGTTACCTTGTGGACATTTTTTTTGCCTTATTGTTTCTTAGCCGAGTTCTCAACATTCTTCCTGTTTCCATTGCCACCATCCATCGGCTATTTTCCTTGTTTTTTGTTCTGATTTCTCTTTTTTTCTATATATACACCCAGTTTGCATTGTACTTACAGTTGTTGGACCCCTCTTCTGTGCTACAAAGAATGTGGTGTTGAGCGATCCCTCCATACGTTAAATAAGCCTCCTGACGACTGTCCAAGAAGGACCAGGAGTGAGTACATGATTAGTGAGATTTTATTGATTATTTTCTAGCACCCAGACCACGGCACAGTATCGGCACTGTCGCCACCCATCCTTTCCCATCTTCCGACCCGACTCAGACACTACCCCCAGGTCCCTACTCTTTTGCCTGGGCAGCCCTTTTGCCCGGTTACACCGACACCTGTCCCATCAAGTCCCTCACACCAGGACCTCACCGCTTTTGGAGCTGTCCCTGACAAGAAAGAGGAAAGAAGAATGGGGAGCGATGGCAGGGGAAGTGGAGTAGGGCGGGCAGCATGGGGTCAGGCAGGGTATGCCCTGACATCTAATAATTATGTCATGATGCTAATATAGCATTGTGGATGCTTCTCTATTTATTTGTGCCGAGAATGTATTAAATTGTATATAAACCCTTGGGGTAGCTGTAAAGGGCAGACCAGCCTTTACTTCTACCCCGTCAATATACAGCCCATAAAAGTGTATCATTAGATGGAACACCTGAGGCCTGAGGCGAATGGGGGAACAGAACATTACTGTCCCCAAACAAGTAAGCTTTTTTATGCTGAAAACCCAGCTGAAGTGGAACCAAAGAAGCAGCCTTTTGCTTCAGCCTAAGAAGCCACATAGGGAAGCAAGGGCAGTTTACCATACAGCCCTGCAACCCCACCACCACCTGTTGCCTACTGTGGGTAAGAAGATAAGAAGCTAAGTCTCATCTTCCCATAATGGCCACAATATGAAGGAAAACTTCTGGGAATATCCAGAAGTCACATGATGCCCGAGGCCCGGGGCCCGGGTGTCCGGCACATGGAGCATGTGGCACAGGGCATGCACAGGAGGTGCAGCAGCCAGGTCCGGGTATGGACCAGGTCAGGGTATGTGCCCTGACAAATTGAAATGAAAAGTTGCCATGCTTCTTTCACAAAATCTCGTAATCTATGCACCTATTTAAGCATACATGGTAATGTCACGTTATTCCGATACTTTAAATAATTTATAGTTAATTTCAAAGTGATGAAACAAGTATTCTCAATGTGATTGGGCTGCCCCTTGCTCCAAGAATACTCCCACTTCTCCAAAGGAAGTTTGGTAGGAATATCCAACTCATTCCTTTCAATGGCCCTAGTCACAACTAGAAAGGTTGCTTCGCAACCATGACCTTGCTTGCACATGACATGGCGCTACTGGTTGCAGCATCGCACTCTAGTACTAACTTTAAGCAATCATGTCTTTCACAGCGGTGTTCACATGCATAGCAGAATATATTGTTATTTAATGGAGGTATGAGATTAAATTAGTGTAAGGTCGGTGTAGGTGCCGACCTTAGTGCCTCTTCAATCCCCAGGCAGTCAAAAGCTAGGTTATACAGAACTTAGTATTTCGACATGGGTGAGGAGAAGAGTGAAGGGACTTCACTCGACTCCGGGCCACACATATGTAAATACATGGTTACAACAAGAAAATAACAAATGAATAAAATAGTAGGACCCCTTCCTTACAATTAGACTTGTGTGTGGTTGGACTAAGTGCTCTTTTTTCGCGCTTGGCACATTACCTGGTGATGCCTCCATCTTATGCGCTGTACCCGCTGTCAGCCTTACACATACTGTGTCTTCCGAGGCTACAGTCATGCCGATTCAGGTTTTATTGCCACTGCATACCTGGGTTGATTTCTTCAGATGGATTCCATATGTGTTTATTTGTCTGCTTATGCTTCTGGGCTCTGGCCCTCTTATACCTCATCCTCTGCTGAAGGCGTTCACTTTGTTTCTTTTTAGTCTCATTTCTTTTAGCCTGAAGGAGATTTTTTGACCTAGTTTTCTCTCAGAGTCCCTGTCATATCCATACTCGGCCATCAACTTCCACTACCTCCAAACTTTCCAGACTACCTCCACTCCTTCCTCACTAACCTCAGAGCTCCCGTATTCCGCAACCACCTCCACTTCTCTTCGATGGTCACCACCCCCTCTTTTCAATATATTACCTACGCCTCCCTAAGTACGGAGCCCCGAAGGTTTCCGGACAGCTCCGACGTCCGCTAGTGCACTCCCGCCTCCGCTGGGCAATTCACTCGCTTGCCCTGCAAGCCCACCTTTGGGCCTATCCCTCCTTTCTGTTTCTGGGTTATCGCCTACCATTCCACTAACCCTGTAACCCAACTTGTCGGTAATATTCAATTGGCTAATGTTTAACTCCGTTAGCTCCGCTCCACTCGGCCCTGCCATTTACGGGCCAGCCCTCATTGTAACTATATATACTCAACTTGTACATATGTAGGTTACACCTCAGTAATAAAATCAACTAGAGTTGACCCCCTTTAGTTCTCGTTGCCAGTCAGTAAGTTAGGGCACGGACATGTAACTTGGCACAGCGCTCCTGGCATAAGTCGCTGAGGCCGAAGCCCTCCGCCATGGAGACATTCCTTCGTCTCGATCTGGTCTCTGACAGTCCCTTACTTCCGGTAAGTGTTTCGGTCTTGCTGAGCAGGGGGGTGTTGTGACCTCCGGTTACTCTCAGTGGGTTGGATCCCGAGTGCTTACTCTAGTTTTTTCTAGGTTTCTTTATTTTCAGTTGTTCCCTTGTTTTTGTAACTTCTGTTCTTCTCATCCTTGTTCTTCCTCATCCTCGTTGCCCTCCTCCTTCCCCAATCTCCATCCTTGTAAATTACCTGGCTCGTCTTCAATTCCAGAGATTCTGGCATTTGCCAGGACTGTCGCCACACTATTCTATTGCATCTCCTCCGGCATGCACACAAGATGAGTTGAATCAGCATTTCAGGGGACATTTGATCGAGGCCATTCAACGCTTATGTTGCGTTATCTCGGGGCTCTGGATGTGACACGATACAACTTCTGCGAGAATTTGATGAGAAGTATTCAGACAACCAGCATGTAGCATTCTGGAGGCAGAAGACGAAAGGTTGGAGAAAGCGAGCAAAGCAACAGGTGGGGAAATTTCCTATTGGATCGATGATGCTGTTGTTGTTCACAATTTATGACAAATTCCCACTACTCTGTAGCGGGTCTTGGAAGCGTAGACTGAATGGCCGTGCACAAATATTGGTTATACCCTTTTTTGCCTCAGCTTGCTGACATACGATTTTAGCTCATCACGCTTACTGACAGCAGCCAGAACAGTGGTAGGCTCACGTAAAAAAGGCTTGTCAATGACACAAAGTGATTACCTGGACTCTAAATTGATTCATAACTCAAGGCGGGTTTGGTAACCTTCGATGCGGATTTGAATCTCCTGTTCATGAACGAGCAAGCGGTATGCGTGGTGCCCAAAAATGTGGCCTGTGTTCGAAGAGCCTCAATTGCGGGGAATGCCTCATCATCATGGTTTATTGGTGAGAACACGCGCGACTTTCGCAATCATTGGTGTCTCTCATCTTCCCATGGCAGCAACTACCGCCCTCCCTGTTTGGGTCCTACACCAACGGGCACAGTACTAGGGTTTGCTTCGGGATTTGGGTAGACAGTAGGGCTCCGGGTGGATCGGATTATCCCGGATGATCCGGAATTTTCAATCCCGGATGCCGGATTAGGATTGGGGGTCAGGATGTATTCTTGATCCGGGATGATCTGAGATGATCCGGGATGGGGGGGCCTCCGAAATTATTGTATTGTAGCAAAGTCATCCGAGATATTTTAACTCCTGACTCATTGTCCGTGCACATTGCTGGCTGCTGTCCAGAGGGGTGTCAAGACTGTTTCCCATGGTCTAGACACACTTTACATAGTTGGATAGTGTCAGGGCGTGGGAATACGTTACCGTGACTCGCCGTCGGCGACCGTTAAGGTCCGCTGCTTCGGCGTAACAGCCCGTCAAGGGCGGGGATGACAATCGCAGCGGAACGGGGTTTCGGCTTCAACGACTCGTTCGTGAGCGTTGTGCCTCGTACTTGACGCGGCCCCGATATTTCAGAAGACGGGAGGTGCGACTGGGTCAGACAGATAGTGCGGGGGGTAACCCTAGTTGATTTTCGAACTACAGTACTAGGTAGTGTACAACCGGTATTTAAGTATAACGGAATGAATGGAATTAAGTCGCCAGATCTCACGGAGATTGCGGGCAGGGTTAAGAAGAAGCGAAAACAAACAAAGAGTGTGGGAGAAGGACGGCCGTGTACGGCCGTCAGGAAAGACAAGCGTGATAAAGAAAGACTCGTAGGCCCGTGACGGGCCGTGGAAACAGGTAGCGGCAATGGGGAAGGGTGGCGGGCTTGTTCAGGCGGCATCGGGCGGGTAGCGGGGTTGACGGGGTCGAAGCGGGGAAGGGAGAGGCGTGGGGAATGATCACCTGACCGTGGGAATTGCCGGGTCGTGACAGATAGCCCTATTGAATAGCTTCCAGAATATACAATTTGAGAGTGAATTGACCAATAAATTATCGAGAAAAATGCAAAATACTTTTTTGGACACGAGTCTGCAAATACTTGTGGCTGTCCAAACTCACTGTCTGTGCACAATGCTGGCCACTGTCCAGAGGGGTGTCAGGGCTGTTTCCCACGGTGTCAACACACTTTATACCAATGGATAGCCCATTTGAATAGCTTCCAGAATATACAATTTGAGACTAAATTGACCAGTAAATTATCGAGAAAAATGCAAAATACTTTTTTGGACACGAGTCTTTTGGGGTAACTCAATGTCTATACTCATGCTAACCACTGTGTAAAGGGGTGTCAGGACTGTTTCCCAGTGTCAACACACTTTACATTGACTAATCAGTTCGGTTCCGTGAGCGGTCCATGAGTTAGTGGACACGGTCCGTATGGACCTGCAATGCGTATGATTGTGCGCCAGCGATGCGAGCCGTACGTCAATTAAATACATTAATAGTAAATGCAGGAGAGGGTAGCAAGTGAAAAAATGATGTAACGCAACGGAGGCGATGGGGAAGGAGGTGGGAAGTGCGGAGATTCAGTTAAGAACTATGAAAGTAAGAGTAAGCGCGCATTTAGTGGATAGCGAGAGCAGGGATAACCGTGTGCAGGCCTGAGGAGCGGGGCCAGCACACACGGTTAGAAGCCTCATCGCACTACCGTTAACTTACCAGTTAGACGTTGTAGTACGATTGCGCAGGCAGGTGGGGAGTGGATAAGGTGCGCTATTTATCTCGCTCCCGGATGCAACTTGTCTCTTCCCGCAGCTGGTCTGAGACCAAGTTTGGGCCCGGAGGAGGGTTTCGTCCGTCTTGTTCCATCCGCACTGCGACAGTGCAGAACAAGACGGCCTCCTCTGAGGCGCGCGCGGATCCACCTGATTAGTCACGTGAAATGGGATTAAACTGAGATGAATAGCCCATTTGAATAGCTTCCAAATTTATTGTATGATCGGAATTCAGGTAAATACATGTTAAAATACAAAGAAATCTTAAGATGTTATTATCCAGGATCATCCAGGATCATCCGGGATTTTCATCCGGCGGATCCGGATTGGCCATTGGGAGGTTGTCCCAATCCGGAATTTCTGATCCTAATCCGATCCTATCCGATCCACCCGGACCCCTAGTAGACAGTCCACCACCGGGGTGAATTTCATCTACGTCCTGCCACCAGACTGTTGCTGACCTATCCTGGGCTTCAGGTATTGGATCCTTCTCACTTCCACGGACATTCACATCTAAGTGCCATAGTTTTGAAGAACAAGGCCATCATTGTGGTGTACACTGACTTCAATACAATGTCGCCGATAAGAGTAGCGGGTATTGCCGCAGCAGGCGGCGTCCATCAGTTATTACATATGTTTATTTCGGAGGGGCACAGAGAGCACACATGGTCCAAAGAAACCAATATCAACATGTGGGAAAGTAAAAGTTCCCACGAATTGTGTATGCGAAAGAGACCTTGCAAGCAAGGTAATGTTAAGTCGTGGGCCAAGGAAATATCCTTTTGCATCACTAATACAAACTTTGTCTCGTTCCCCACCGATGGGATTTCCTACAAGGAATTCCCTTGCTGTGGCGTGGTAAAATTTGACCACCTTTCTGTTGTCAGAGGGAAGATCAACTATGGTGCTGATGGGCTTTAGCGTCGAGTAAACCTCATCCTCAGCGATTCCTAGGAGCTGCGACATGTCGTACACGCTGAGTTCCTGCCATGCTGCAACCATCATTGCCACTACCTTACAATAATTCGTTGCTACTTGTGGACAAATGTTTGAGGAATGGGGCATATATGCTCGTCGCAGTATCCGAAAATACTCCGAGTTGAGATCCGCAGGTGCATCCATGAGATTCAGAAAGTATTCGAGCTCAATACGTGAAGTCCAGATTCGGACTGAAAGCGGTTCTCTCTTGAGGTTGCGGATGGAGGCTATAATGGGCAATCCTCGGCAAGCTGTGATGAAGGAATCAAGATCCTCATTGGATGGTTTCCACTGCGAGTCTGCGATACAATCTTGGAGCCCATCCTCAACCATACAATGGATGGTGTAGAAAGTGTCATGCCTCGAAATCCTATCGGCATCTTCATGAGCAATCACAATCGGCGGATACCGCGCTCCAGCCCGGTCCCAAGCCGAAATGACTTGCGGTTCGGGATGACAGCTGACCAGTACAGCAAAGGTCGAAGGTAGCTCATCAAGCAGAAGGATGAGCTTCATCAACGATCTGAGTGTTTCCGGGTCACCACACTCATCCAATCCGTCCAAAGCAATCACTGCGCGGTCCCCCCTTGAGGACAGGATATCCCCGAGTTGGCGCAAAGGGTGGATGATCCAGGCTGTCATCTCTTTCTCTGTAGCAGAACCCCGAGTACTGCTCAATGAAGCTGGCTGCCGAAGCTCTTGTACTCGGCATTGAACGCCGCAATCTGCAGAGCAAGGGTGGAGGGGAATCGCTCTAAAAAAAAAGAATCAAGACCCGTTCCTTTTTGGTTCTTGTCCCAGAAGAAGGACGCAGCAAGGGTACCCTGGCTACCAAGAGTCGAGGCTACACTCATGGATATCGCAGTCTTCCCGGTTCCGGGTGAACCACGCAGCCACACAAATCGGTTCTTGGGTTCCCTCAGGTGTTTGAGGATTGAGCTGCGAATCTCATCCCGCGTGGTTTCGAGGCATTCGGACTTGCTCTTCACGTGGTGATACTCAGCATCGACTTTGCGGAGTTTCGACAGCTCGTCTGAAAATGGGAATGAGCCAAAAGCCCTGGCATCGGGAGAAAAAGACGAACGGTCCACCGACACTTGGATCGTATTCAAAGTCGTTGCCACTGTCTACAGTGGGCATTATATCAGCTGAGGTTTGAAAATATGGACACAGACCTAACGAACCGCAAAACGAGAAAGAGCTTCACTGATACATGTCCTCACATCATTTATGCTTTGTGTTAGCGAGGTCGCTACAAGTATCCTCTTCCAGTGCTTCCGACTCTGACTCTCAAGCAAGCTGATCCTCTCAACCTGACCTTCCAAAGCCCTATCAATTGCACTTAACGCCCCATGAACGACACTGCGGAATATCATCGACATACAAGTGAAATTCCCTCACGAGAAAAGTTACTTCGGGGGGCATCGGTCCCGCCCACAGTTGGAGCGGCCGCAACATGATGGTATATGCATTTTGCACTTCATCATCCAGCCCTTTGAGAGCTTCGTTATTACCACTAACGTTCTATGTGAACGAAAGCAGATGTGAGGATATATCGTCACTGATTTTTAAGACCAAAATCCGAACCTCGTAAACTTGAAGCAGCGTGAGAGCAAGTCCGTGAGCAGCAAGTCTGGAATATTATGGAGGAACGGGATGGGAGAAAATTTGAGAGCTGAGGATGCGGTTTGGAGAATAAGCCTAGTAACACTGATGATGCTTTTCTTTCTGTCATCAGCTGGGCCGGCTGTCGATTCTGGCGTCGACTCTGGTCTAGAGGGGCCGATGCTTGCATTTTCTAGTTGTGTGCGGACGCGTCCACCGCCAAGGAGAGTCCAAGGGGCGGGTGTCACATGAGGGGGTTCGAAGCTCGATGAGTGTGCTCGCGCAGTGGAGACAGACAGTCCAGAGATAGGTGTACGTGATTGGCTGATACGATTAGGATTGGAACGTCGGGATGCAATCTGGGGCAGGGGCAGTTTGGGACAAGATCCCCCCGATCCAGGCTGCCGATCACGATGAATGGTTTCGCTGAGTGTCTCCGAACTCGCGGGATGGATTCGAAGCGATGGGGGGTGCGATTGCGGGTCACCGTCAGACGGCCCAGGGAGTGTAGCCTCATGTCTTGGGGGAGGCATCCAAAGCTTCAAACTCTGAGACTCACTGGAAGGCCTGGGGTGAACCCCGAGATAAGACCCCGCGGATCTCCCGCGCCGATCATGACGAATATCGCGGGTTCGGAGAACCTGCGGGCCAGTGAGCGGATGAAGCGGAGGCATACAGGTGCGGGTGAGCGTGGGATGGCCCTGGCAGCGTAATCGCACTGTTTGGGCAAGGCATCTGGTAAGAATCACCAAAAAATTCAAACGCAGGCGCCACCGGGAGCAAGGGGATAAGGTCCACTGCGCCAATCATAAGGGATACTACCGCTGGTTTTGGGGATCTGCAGGATGGTGGGATGGAATGAGAGTGGTGAAGTGAAAATGAGGCGGAGAATTGTTACTGATTATCGTCAGGTCGCAAAAAGGGAAGGCCGCTCTGTTCTGCGAGGTTCAGACTCGGAGGTGGATGTCGGTTTTTGTGATCCATTCGTGTGTGTCAGTCAAGAGAGGGCAGATGGATGAGGGTGAGATAACTACCCAGCCCGTACTTGGGATATAAAAGGCTGTGTGAAGGAAACAAGTAAGAACGCCTTGTAGGTTTAATGAGCCGTATTCTCGGAAAGCAGTACTTCCCGCCGCTGTGACAAAAACTAGCTAATAGGGGAATGGTTTGAGTTATCCGAGCTACGGCAGAAAAGAAAGGCGGCTCGTAGACTGAGGTACCCTATTAAGGCATTAATTTCTCCGCCATTTCATCGAACTACTAATGCAATTTTGTGTTCGTTCATTGCACAGCATCTCGAAAGAGTGGTACTTGCAGTTCCGGTGCACGATAGGAACGACCAGCGGGAGCGGAACCAAGCCAAACGACGCATTGTTACAATTTGGGCCGCACAGATGTGGCAGAAAGAAGATCGATTGTATCAAAGCGTGCCGTTAGGGTCGGGAAGTGTGGCGGCGAGACGCCGCGAAACGTCGTGACGGCAA